CTGTAATCCCAGCTACTCAGGAGGCTGAGGCAGGAGAATTGCCTGAACCCAGGAGGCGGAGGTTGCGGTGAGCCGAGATCACGCCACTGCACTCCAACCTGGGTAAGATTAGTGAAACTCCGTCTAAAAAAAAAAAAAAAAAAAAAAAAATGCTTGTTGTCTGTAACTCGGTTCAGGCCCTCAATTTCTCTTAGAATCTTAGAAGAGTGGTGGTGGTAGCCTCCAATGCTATGCCAACCACCCTGCTTACAAAGTCCTCCTCATTGATGTGGTTTAGGCTGCTTTATGTCTCTAGATTATATTTCTTACAATATAGTAAGTTGTATAAGAACAGAGAGAGTTCATTTGTATCATCACCACATTATGAGAAAATATAACACATAGTAGACAGTCTACTCATAGCAGAAACCACGTAACACCTGTTCAAATGTATTACAATTTCAGTGTAGCTGGGGAGGACGGGTAAATTATTTGTCAAAAATTTCTTAACACTAACTAATCAAGTTAGCTTTTTAAAACTATATATACAGTGAATGACCCCTTTAGAAGTGATAATTTAATTGAACCTTGAGGTGTATAGAATATATATGGGAAGGGCACATTTCAGGCAGATGGAAAATGTGTGTCTGAAAGTAGAGGTCGTCTGACACTGCTGTAATGTAAGATGTGAGAGAAAACAATGAGGTATAGAGTGTGAAGGTAAAAGAATCAAATCATAAGGAATTTTTTATTCAATTTCTAGGAGTTTAAAATTTATTTTGTAGTTAAAAGAGACTGCTGAATGATTTTAAGCATGGAAACAAAATAACTCTATTTTCAATTTAGTGAGATATCAAGTTTGGAGTTAGGAGGATCATTTGGTTTAAGCACCCCTGGCCATGTGAACTTACATAAGAAGGCTAGATACTATATTACTACATACAAATATCCAAGATTTTATGAGATCAAAAACTGCAGAAGTGGAAGTAGTAATTATATTATGTTGAACATATGGAAATTAATGGCATATAGATCTGAAAAAAGAGATAAAAGCACAAGAGTAGTCCAAGTTGCTTTTCTAATTTCTAGATTGGGCAAGTGGACAGTTTATGGCATCATAAATCAATATAAGATAAAATGAAAATAAGTACATTTCATTTTTGGTATGTTTAGTTTCACATAGTTATGGGAAATTTAAGAAAAAATGTACAGTATTTAGTTACATATTTGTCTGGATCTCAAGAAAGTAACCTGGGCTGGAGCTATAGATTTAGGAGCCTTCAGAGTAAAACTAGTAAACCAGAGACTAAATGAAATAATCAAGGGAATAAATTTAGAATGAGGAAAGAAACAGAGAGAGAGAGACAGACAGACAGAAACAAAGAGGCAGGGAGAGACAGAGACAGAGAAAAGGAGATAGAGAAAAAAGGGAAGAAGAGAAAAATCAGATATGAATATTAAGAAGAAATTTCCATATGCAAATGAGAAAAACTATGCAAAACACATTTTGCACAAGCCAAATAGGAGAAAGTTTCAAGTAGAATCTTGTGAAAATAAGTTTCAAATGTTCAAAGAGCAAGTGAAACATAAAGGCTAAAATAATTTACTATATTAGCTCAAATTTCAGTAGTAAAAGATGCCAGATGAAAATAGCCTGGGTTAGAAATTATACTTTTATATAGCAACTTAATTTCTCATAAGCATTAGATATTTATTTGGTAAGGGCAATTTACCTTCACTGGGTACATAAATCAATTTAACTCTATTTTTCATTCTATTTAGCAGGAATTACCTAAACGGAATCTCAGTTAGTTTATACAGTTTCAGGATCAGAAGGTCTCTGTTCAGGAAGGTGATGAAGAACAATAAACCACCAGGAATAACTTAATTAGAAATAAATAAATTGGTTCAAAATGAATCACAGGAAAAAAAATTCATACTACTATTTTTATTGAAAGAATAACTAAAAACACTCAAACCTATAGTAACATTCTTGCCTTCCTTCTTTATCTATTCTATAATATACTTCCAGGTACACAAAAAATATATCATAAAAAAGGGAAGATAACCACATGTGAAGCTCCTAACATTTACAAACTTACTATATAACTTACAATAATTTATTGCTTTATATGTCAACAATTTTTACACCTTTTAGAGATGTTTCCTATATAGGACCCCATTTGATCTGAATGACAACAAAATAATTAAAATACCTCCTTTTCTCATGTTTTAGGTGAAGCAATTGAGGTTTCTTCCATGGGTCCAGGGAATTGATTAAGATCATTATTCTAGAGTTCAAGCCTGAAGACTACAAAAGACCAATAAAGCCACAGACGTGACTAATATAGCCTCCCAATTTATTCAAGTTTAAAAGAAAAAAGAAAGTAAGCAAAAGCTGTATTAGCATTTAGCTTATTATGAGTTTTCCCAGCACACACTCCTATTAATTTAATGACTTTTAAAATGGGCATTTAAAGCAGGACAAAAATGAATATGCAGGAAACCTGAGTATGTGGGAGTTATTTATCAGGGCGGGCATAGATGATGAATCATGCTCACTACATATAAAATTGCTGCTGAGCCTTTGCAATACTCTGTGCAGTTAGTTTATTGGAAATGAGAAATCAGTGTGCATTTCTGCTCAGACCCTCCAAGATATGATTTAATATTAAAATATATTTTCATAAATATTTTTAACCTTATAAAAAGGAAATCGTCATAAGAATTTGAGTAAGTTTTGAGTTATACCTCATACATCTTCAAATATATTCTGTCCTGGTAATTTTTGATGATGTGGTTGAAAGAAGCCTGGAATTATACTTTAGGTTTTCCTTCCTGGATGCCTCTTCCTTAATGTATATCCTTGGGGATAACACTTGGCTATCATGAACTCACAGTTCTACATGGCTGAGGAGGCCTCACACTCATGGTGGAAAGTGAAAGAGGACCAAAGTCCTGTCTTATATATTAGCAGGCAAGACAGCTTATGTAGGGGAGCTGCCCTTTACAAAACTATCAGATCTTGTGAGACTTATTCACTATCACAAGAACAGCACAGGAAAAACCCACCCCCATGATTCAATTACATCCCACCAGGTCCCTCCCAGGACATCTGGAGATTATGCGAGCTACAATTCAAATTGACATTTAGGTAGGGAAACAGCCAAACCATATCATTCGACCCCAGGTCCCTTGCAAATCCCGTGTCTTCACATTTTAAAATACAATCATGCCTTTCTAACAGTCCTACAGTCCCACAAAATCTTAACTCATGGCAGCAGGCCAGACAGCATGGGTAGGAGAGCTGCCTTTATAAAACGGTCAGATTTCATGACACTTGTTTACTATCATGAGAAAAGCATAGGAAAAACCCACCTCCATGATTTAATTATCTCCCACCAGGTCTCATGACACGTGGAGTTTATGGAATCTACAATTCAAGATGAGATTTGGGTAGGGACACAGCCAAACCATATTATTCCAGCCCTGCCCCCTCCCAAATCTCATGTCCTCACATTGCAAAACACAAACATGCCTTCCCAACAGCTCCCCAAAATCTTAACTTGTTCCAGCATTAACCCAAAAGTACAAGTTCAAAGTCTCATCCAAGACAAGGCAAGTCCTTTTTGATCACATGATCTCTCTCTTCGAGACTTTAGCTCCTTTTGAGGCAATGGGATTCCTGTGCAAAGGTCTAGGATCTGCCTCAAACCAAATTTATGAAATCTTGTCTATAAAAGAAACACAGTGAATGACGTGTTTTCTATCATCTGTTACAGAAGTGAAAGGTAGTGCTCTAGTGATTCTTCAACCTATAATTCTACAATTAGGAACATAACATTTTTGACTAAATATATGTTCAAATGAGGCAACAAGTGGCTATGAATTAAAATTTTAATGTTTGAACTACTTAACAATGGATATATTTTTTAAACTACTCATGGAGCAAAGCAGAAAAAGGGAAGCTCAGTTACACTCATTATTTGGACCGCAGAGAATTCTAGTTTATTCACTATGAGTGGGTTAACCTTATATCCTGGTTTGGTGGAATATTCTCACATTATTCCTGTTGTCTTATCATATTTATCATTAGCAACTCTTTCACCCTGAAAGTGCTTTAGTTTGCGTGCAAAATATACAAACATCTAATTTATCATTTGAATGTAACTGTTGAGTCAATACAAATTAAGCCAAATCAAATATATTTTTCTTGATGTACATTTTTGGAGTAAATATGGATTTTAATGAAACTGAATCTAACAAAGGGCAGTTTATTTTATAAAATAGAAATGAATAAAATTTTGAGGATATTGATGCTATGAGGTAAAAACTGAATAAATAAAATCCTTGCTAATTGTTGTAATTAGATACTAGCAGGCTAATCATAATTCAGCAAAACTCTGTATCTCTAAGTAATAATAAGGATCTTTAAGTATTAGTTTAATCTTGGCTCCTGTTTGACACTTCAGTTTGCATTTCTTACTCTCATAGCTTGGGAAAATTAACTAACCCTTTGACCTCAATTTTGTAATCTATAAAACACATAATAACAAAAGCCACCTCAACAGATTATTGTGAAGATGAAATGGCATAGTGCAAAATATTTAGCAGACCCACTGATATCAGTGTTCAGAAATTATGAGCCACTGTTGCTACTAATTCTGTGATGTTGATAACTATTACTTTGCAAAATACGAGTTTCACTACAATCATTTATATTATTATAAATATAGGATAGCCAAAGGAGGTACCACATAAAAACATTATTTAAAAATCAAAGTGAACATTCATTTCTTTTTAAATAATTTTTCAGGAAGAAGTAACAGGTTTTGTAAAACATAAATTCAAAAATTAAAATCTAGGAATGATCTCTACATACAAATTCCAAGAGGTAAGCCATGTCTCAAGGACCATTTATTGAATATTTATATATATTAAAAATTAAAAAGAATACAAGCTATGACAATATTTATTACACAGAATTCCAGAAGAGATAAATACTGTGTGAATTATGGTGTTATAAAGTTGTACAAGGGCTGGGTGTGGTGGCTTATGCCTGTAATCTCAACATTTTGGGAGGCGCAGGTGGCAGGAATGCATCTAGTCAGAAGTTTGAGACCAGACTGTGCAACAAATTAAGACCTTGTCTCTTGTCTCTAAAAAAGTATTGCATAAAAATTAGGTAGGTGGGGTGGCATGCACCTGTAGTCCCAACTACTCAGGAGGCCGAGGCAGGAGGATCACTTGAGCCCAGGAGCTGGAGGCTGCAATAAGCAATGATGCTGCCACTGAATTCCAGCCTGGATGACAGACTGAGACCCTATCTCATTAAAAAATAAATACCTAAATAAAAATTTCACCTCCAAGATGTGTGCTCTTCACAATTATTCTGTTAATAATTTATAGAGGATCTATAATAGAATTACACTGGTGTGTTTAGAAAAACTGACTATTATTTTATTGTTTATACAGATTATATAAATTACCTGTTTAATCATTTTTCAGTTAAGTATAATGTGAAGTAAATACATACATTAACTGACAGAAATCTGAGCTCCTTTTTTCTTAATGTTTTCCATTTTCACTGTAAAATGCAAGAATCTTATTTCTTAAATGACAACCATGTTAACATTAATAATCTAGAATTATTAACAATGTGCCTTTTGAGTGCCTTAATTATATAAAGAGCATTTGTTGTTTGTGAATATTCTACTTTTTCATTTAATATAATTCAGAATACATGAATAAATTAAAAATTGTGAGATATTTTGCAATTTTGTAGGGGACATTAAAATTGAAATTATCAATAAAATAAATCAAAATTTTGTGAAGTATTATGCTTTCCAAATTCTTCATTTTCTTTAACAGAACTGTTTTCTATGTCTTTCAGAATACACAGACTGAATTTTTCTTTAGATCAGTGTTTCTTTGATTAGGTCACTGTAAAGAGAAATTCAACAGGCCTTAAGGCCTTGCTCTCCCTAGTAATTCTTGGACTGTTTGTAGCTGGCAGCAGAAGGTAATAATATATTTTGAATTATTAAAGTAAAGGTTCATTTTTAACATTAATGAAAAATTCAAAGACAGGTTTTACTACAAGAATCGCTGTGAGAAAAAATGAGACGTTATTTTAGTGTGCACTATAGTTTCATATTATAATAAATATAACATCAACATTAATAAATATAGCATTACAGACACGGAAAAATGTGTTTATTTGTAACCTTGGCAATTTTGCACATTTTGGTTACAAAACTATACTTTTTGGGGAAAAATAGAACAAAGACGCAAATGATTATTTAAAAATATGCTAAAGGTGGTTACTATCTCATGATACATAACAAAATAACTAAATTTAGTAATTTTTGCTTCTATTTGCATTATCTAATATTTTCCAAAACATTATACTTTTATATTTATAGGTGTCAACATTTGTGTCTTGATTTGTAAACATATGTTTGTTATAAAATTAGGCTTTATAAAGTTTGCTTCAATTTGCATTTTTACCCTGCTTTAAAATTCATTTATGGAACACACCATTTGCTTGTCCAGAGAGTTTTACCCCGTTTGATATTGCTGATTGCATCCCTGTGGTGTAATGTGACATGCCCCTCTGTTCACTTTAGTCCTGTAAAATTCTGTTAGATCTAAAGTTTTATTTATTTATTTATTTAGTCAGTTATTTAGTTATTTCTATTATGCACTAAGCACTGCTGTTTTTCCAATGGAAAAGTTCATAATGTTCTGTTATCTTTTGTTTATTTTAATAGCCATTGCTGATCAATTAGTTTATTACATGCTTGATTTGTGATATTTGAATTCTGAAAATCAAATTTGCAAATGCTTGTTTATATTTTTTTCATATCAGAATGGTGTGTTACACTTTTACTTTGTTTCTTAGCTTTGTTTTGAGAATGTTTTTGTTTAAAAATACATACTTCTCATGCTTTCTTTTATTCTTGTAGTAACTGATGAGTTCAATGTTCACAATTTTTGTTTTTTTAATTTCTGTGTTGAATTTCCTAGGACTAACAGTAGAAAAGAATCTAGGGTTGTAAAGTGTGACGGCTTTCCTCATTTCTAAGTTCAAACATAATAGTTCCTGTCTCTATAGGGGTTTCTTCAACAAATAGAAATAAATGGAACTTTCCCTGGTTTAACATTCACTAAAGATATCTTTTCCTTCATCATTTTCTACTTTTAGTAGGGCTTTGGTTCTTAGCCATTTCTGCATTTCATATTGCTACCAAGACTCCAAGTTGCCTCTCTCCAAGGACCCTCCATTGCCTCCAGAACTCATATTTGCATGATGCTGCCATACTTAGCAGGACACATTTTAAAATTTATTTTCATTTGACTCGCTATTAAGTGTTCTATGTGCTTTCTTACCCTGGTTAGGACTTTTTACTTCTGAGGATAAATTAGTAGGTTTTTTTTTTTTTTTTTTTTTTTTT